GGCTGGTTCATTGCTTTTCTTCACTGTGCTGCTGTACATCACCACCTTCTGCTGGGACCTGGCTGGAGGTGGCTGTTTCTACTTGAAGAAATGATGCTGCAGTTCTGGGATGTTTGTGAGTGAATGTGGTTCATGCAGGAGTGCCGGCTGCCATGGGTTTAAAGAAGAAAATTAAAATAGGGAAATAAAAAGGCCCCGACTTTTCCTCACTCTATTAAAATCATGCTCAAGTTCTGCTCGGGTCTGGAGCTAGAGCTAAAGAGTAAAACAAACATGATTTTTTTTTAAAGAACTGTGGCAAATCTCACAGCGTTTCAGGCAGGTGAAGTGCTTTGTCTCCAGCAGTGGGTGACCTCCCCCACAGCTCTGCCTTCTTGCAAATAACTCAGTTTTAGTATGGCCATGTTGCCAGTCAGAGAGGAGAACATGGGGAAAAGATGTGTTGGAACCTTCTCCTGTGAGATAGTAAGTGACAGGATGAGTGCTCCTATAAAATGTGTAGCAAACTCAGAAAAGTAGCACTTAAAGAATTCTTTTCCAATAACTATGCATATTTCCATAATAGTAAATATATTAATTCTTTACTGACTGAATGATAGATCTATACAAGGGTCATTGTGATGAAAGGAGAGAATCCTTTCAAGTGCTCAACTTTTTTTCCTCCTGATGGCATGTGAAGTATGGAAGACATTTTCTGTATTTGCATTATTAGAGCTATTTAACAGAGCCTAAAAATGCAGTGAGGCCCCATAAAGTTGCCTCTCGGTCCTATTCAAGCAGTGACCAGCCTCTTCTGAGGTGAGAATTTTTGTCTTGTCTGGACTTCATCATAAAATCGGAGAATCTCAGAATGGTTGGGATGGGGCATCCACAACTGTTGGGCAGCCTGTTCAATGTCTCACTACCCTCACAGTAAAGAACTTCTTCCTAGTCTCTCTCCTTTCCCTGCTCTTCCCCACTAAGGGATGTGCCCCTAGGAGGCAAGCTGCTCTTAGCTGGAGAGCTAAAGTTAAAAACAAAGTGTGGATTCACATGACTTTGTTTGAGGGGCCTGTCACAGGAATTACTGCTTTATAGGGATAAATAGTGAATGTACATAATATTCAACAGATCTATCAGGATATCCTGTTCAGTTCTTTAGATGGCAGAGAAGCTTATAAACCCCGTTCCTGGCTGCTGCAAGTGAGCACAGCCAAGGAGAGACACCAGCAGCTGCTTTGATTAGCCCAGCTATAGGCTGCACCACTTCTTTCCGTGGTGCATGGTCCTGTGATCCTTCCACACACTCAGAGTTGGAAGTCATGGGAACACCTTTGCTATCACCACCATTTGTCTTGGAAGAAAGCATTTGACATTATTTATGTCCTGCAAAATAATTGTTCAGCAAAGCAGTTAAGGATGTGTTCATCTGTTGTGCTGAGCCAGTGCCTAAACCAGTACTAGAGCATTGTAAATGGGGAAACGAAGAGCAAGCGAACTGCTAAAACCTGGAAAATAAGTATCATTAATTTTTCAGTGTTTTACTACTGAACTGTGGTAAATTACATGGCACGCTGTTTCCTAGTCAAGGCTTCATTTTACTTATGATCTGGGTATTTTAAACTCTTTCCATCTTTACACATAGGAGTCACCTCCACTCATGCATTATTGAGTGTCAGTGATTTCAATTTATCTGCGTAAGGAAAACAAGACGGCTTTGCTATAAAAATGCCAACTTCTGCTGCTACTGCCTCAACTGACAAAACCTTTGCTCATCAATAATCACGTGCTAAGGAGCCAGCATGACCATTAATAGTGCTACTGCATGTTTCCTGTATCCCTTTCCCCCAGAATTTTCTGTTCTGAGTGCCATTTTATATGTGATTTTAGTTTAAATGTTCCACCTTCACTGCACGTTTGTAATGGAAACGGGTTTATGACTGAAGCTGGTGCCTTTTCAAGTATTTTATGTATGTAATTCTAATGTGAAAAAAACCCATGATCCCATCCTTTCAGCTGCTCTTCAGTTCTGTGAACTAACTTGTAGTATTTGTCTAGTGATGTGTGTTTCATTCAGTTGTAGATTAGATTGTTGTGGTTGAATAAACAGGTATCATGAAACCTAAATAATACATGGCTTTTTATTCACTTCTTTCCTGTAGCTGAGCTCAGCCTGGTTCCATGGGTGGAGGGGGAACAGGGACTAGGTAGAGCTGACAGTAGATTGAGGTCTCATCTCCCTGACGAAGAAAGAAGACTTAACTCAAAACTAGTTTTGGCCTGGTTCCACTCCTTCATAAAATGCATGTGCAAAAGCATGGACATGCGTACTTGCTCTCACTATTGTTCTTGCCCTCTAATCTTTTTTCCCTTCCCTTCAGTGAACACTAACAACCCAGTCCTGAATGAGAGGCTGCCACTAAGAAATTGGTGGGCATATATGATGACTTGTTTGAAGCAGACTTCAGTGTCAGCCTACAGTGCAGTGGTTATTATTAACTAGAAGTAAAACTATTTAAAATAGGTTTTAGGGAAAAAATAAAAAGTTACTTTCCTAGAAATACATTTTTTTTGTGTGACATTTTGAGATAATCTCACAAAATCTCTTCCTTTTATATATTACATCAGCTGAACAATTTGCTGTAACTGTACATAATGAAAAGATTGCCGGCTATGGAATTTTCTTTAGACCTTTTAACATGGTTCAGGGTTTTTTTTTTCCTGCATAGATTCTTTAATGGCAGAAGAACTGAATATCATGTCAGCAACTGACTATTAGTTCTTGGTGGAAAGGTTTGCATGGGCATTTTGTGACAACCCAGCAATGAAATAATGGTTAGAGTTGGCTGACTTCTACAGAGGCAGAAATTTAAATGAGCTTTAATGTCTCTGCTTAAATGTGGCAAGGGGTGGAGAGGATCTGTCATTTATCTCTGAATACAGCACTTTTGTGAGTTGTAGCTGTGAAAGTCTTAGCCGGAGCACAAGCCTGGCTTCATAGACACAGCTACATGGAGCAGTGTGCTAGCTTACAGGCTGTGACCACTGCGAGCTCTGGAAGCACTGCTGACCCGTATGGCTGTAGCAAGCTGGAGCCTGGGCACTGCTACTTGGAATCATAGGATGGTTTGGGTTGGAAAGGAACTTAAAAGATCATCTAGTTCCAACCTTCCACTAGACCAGGTTGCTCAAAGCCCCATCCAACCTGGCCTTGAAAACTGCCAGGGATGGGGCAGCCACAGCTTCCCTGGGCAGCCTGTGTCAGTGCCTCAGCACCCTCATAAATGAAGAACTTCTTCCTAGTATGTAATCTAAATCTCCCCTCCATTAGTTTAAAGCCATTCCTCTTATCACTACATGCCTTTGTAAAATGTCCCTCTGCAGCTCTCTTGTTGGCACATATATAGGTCTCCCTGCAGCCTTCTCTTCTCCAGGCTGAACAAACACAGTGCTCTCAGCCTGTCTTCACGGGAGAGGTGCTCCAGCCCTGTGCTTGGGATTGAGGTTGAGACATACCAGTATGGAGCTGGCATGCCTTGACCCATACTTGAGCACACAGGGGTGATGTAAACTACTATATGGTACTACTATAAGACGTGCCAAATTGCAGGCTTTGACTTTCCATGTTGCTAATTTTGCAAGCTTAACTATATCAGTTAAAATACTAGTACAGTATCCTGGAAATAAGCCATGCTTTTTTGCAACCATAGGTGGGGAAGAAGCTGTTAATTTGCTACAGGGACTGTCTTTCTCTGAACATAAGAATGCAAAGCAACTTGCTTCATAAATCCCCTTGCCAGATGAGGAATAAGCAGTCACCAGTAAGGACAAGTGGAGAAAAGGTGGGAGAATTCTTACAGGCTAATGATAAATCCTTATTTCTATAGGTAAGCATTACAGAAACTGGCTAATTCCTGGGTGATTTTTACTGTAACCAAAACTCTTGTTATCACACTGAGCTCTCCTTGTCACGCACTTACCTCTCTCTAGCACTGCCCTAACTACTGGGTTAGAAAATCAGTTCGGGATGCAGCAAATAGCTCAGCACTTTGAACTACTAATAAACATTACCTGGTTCAACTTTGTACTCTTCCTTCAGGAAATTAGTCAGTTGCAAAGGAAAGGATCTGTGCCACTGAACACAGGCTCCACTTGCAAGTTATAACCTCTTGCTCTGACAAACCAGTGAGTGGTTGTACTTCTGACATTTGCAGCAGGATGCAAATTGAGTTGACATACACAGAAGCTGCCCCCCCCACTAGACACACCAACACTCCCTCCAGACATTGGCTAAATTTTAATGACAGTATTCAAACTGTACAATCAAGAAGCAATGGCAATGTTGACTGTACACAATGATTCTCCAGCCATTGCCAAGTGTCAGTTACATTTTAAAGATGAAACTTATAAAAATGCACAATTCTCTCCCAAGATACTGTACACTATTCAGCAGGTTAAAAACTGAAAAAAAAAATCATTAAAAAAGTCATTACATGATTTGTATACATCAGGGATAGTCTACATAATCATTTTCATCTAGAAAATATGTGCATTATAAACCACTTCCATGCAATGCAACAGTTTCTTATTTCAAAGGTAGTATAAAAAGACAACACAGCAGTCCTAGTCCCTAGAACACAATATGTAATACAAAACAAATGTGCATCCAATTTATTAAATGTTTTGTATGAACAAAATACTATGACAAAGATTCAAAACTAGATTTTTTGAATATTTCTTTTTTGTTTCCAAGAAGTGACTACAGTGCTAAAAGATACAGGTAACAAGAAGTGTGTGTAGTAATCATTTTAGCCAAAGTGCTTCTTCTAAAGTTGTGATACTAAACCCCAAAGTTTGCTATGCTAACCTGAGACAGAGTGCTATCTTTAAGATTGCTGTGATATACTTTCTGCATCTACTCAGTATTTTATCAGCCTGCAAATTTCAGACAACTACAAAATAATCTCGCAAGTTTAAGACAACTTAAAATATTCTGTTTATTGCATTAATGTATGAAGTGTGTTGCTTACAGTTTATTTAGAAGTCCAAAAGAGTGCATTTTGGTATAACTGAAGAGGCAAGGGCTGCTTCCTAAATTGGTGGAGGCCCATTAAGATACTGCAGCATCAGATGCAAAGAACGGGCAAAGTTGTTTGCCCTTGTGCACCTGTAGTCTTCTTCAGAAGATGGAATTATACAAACCACTAGTAAAAGCAGTAGAAGGAACAATTGAAGTGGAAACGCTGCTCGCAATACACGGTAAAAGAAGTAGGGAGTCTGAGGAGTTGCTTGAGTAGGTTGTGGATGGCTTTCGCCTCTGAAAAGGAGATAAAAAGAAGCAGGGGTGGGGAGGGAAGAGAAAAAAAAGAAACTTTAGAGTCTGAATTAAACAAGTTGTTTAACTTGGTCTCTAGGGTTCACCCTACCCTTCCAAGATGCAGGGCTGCCCATCTACAGCAAAATAGACTAACTGTCACTTGAAAGCGTGCAAGGCTGCTCAGTGAGAACCCAGCTGCTGTTTTGGGTTTACTCTCCTTACTGCTGAAGAAGAAACATTTATTTGCCATAGCTTAGATCACTGCATTTTTACCCTGTTTTCAGATACAAACTTAACTTTTCCCTGGAGACAAACAAACCACTCTAAATACATATTAAAGTATAAAGGAAAGCCATCATTCAGACTGCCTAGCCTCTTCTCTCTTTTGGCATTACTGAGATACGTCCTTTGAGCAGGCCCTTATGTACCAGGAGTGAAATGCTAGCTTTGTCCTTCATGAACTGTTTGTAAGTGTTGTAGTTAAGTGGCTCCAAGCTGCAAGTTTCTGTTTCCAGGGATGCTAGTGGAATTAAAGGAGGTTTTACAACTGAAATATTCTCTCATTTGTCACAAAAAGTATTTTCTCGAGAGTAAAGCCAAGGTTGCACATTGGTGCAGAGGTCTAGGAACAGGAGTGCTAAAGGAAAGCATTCACCAAGATGCAACCGAGAGCCAGGCAGTAGAAGAGACACTACAGGTATGCAGAAATCACCTCTACCTGTACATACGTCAACCTATGAAAATCGCTGCCTGGGTTTCTGCTGGCACTCAGCTTATCTCTGTCTTTCTCACTATCCTTCAAGAGATTACAGAATCATAGAATGCTTTGGGCTGGAAGGGACCTTAAAGATCATGCGCAGCGTCACCTTCCACTGGACCGGGTTGCTCAAAACCCTGTCCAGCCTGGCCTTGAACACTGTCAGGGATGGGGCAAGCGAATATAAAATGATACCTTCTGCTGCTGCTTTTTTTGTCACCTGAAGCTCTCTGTACGGTGATCTGTTAAAGAAATAGCTTTTAGTTTCAGAAACTACAAAGAATTTCTCAAAGAAGACAGCTGTAAAATGTAAAGCCCTGTTGTAAATTCTGTAATAAGGTACATGCACCTTAAAGGTGACATGATTACATTTCAGGAACGTTCAGGCTAAATGTCAAAATATGCTATATGCTGACAGGACAATACTAGAAAAAAATACTTGCCTGTTTCGCAGCAGGGTTGGATTTCTCTGTGACTTGATTATAGACCCCTGAGTCCAAGTCATCTGGAACTAGCAGCAATGCTCTGGTACCCTAAAAGGTAACCACATATTCTTCTTTAAAACACATGTTCAAAACTCATAACAGATGAAGTGCAAAGAGCCATGCTTCACTGGCTCTATGTGCGTGCACAGACAAATGCCTCTTTACATGTGCGTAACCAGTGGTAAATGGATGCTCCAGTTCTCCAGCATAAACAAATATTTTACTATGCACAACCCAAAAGAATTGCAATGGAACAGATGCATACAGGTATTAACTTGAAAATATCTTTTATCTGACAGCTCTCAAGATAAGCAATGTATTGCTCTGAACTACAACTCCTATGCATTCATTACACACTCCTTCCTTAATACTTGGTATGGCTCATAGAATAATTCAGGTTGGAAGGGACATCAGGAAGTTTATCTAGTCCCTGCTAAAAGCAAGGTCATCCATAAGACCAGACCAAAACCTTATTCAAAGCTTTATCCTGTCTGCTCTTCAAATCCTTCAAGGATAGAGACTGCACAACATCTCTGGACAATCTGCTTCTATACTGTACTAAACTTGTGGTGCTAAAGTTTTTCCTATAGCCAGACTTCATTATTCTTTTTTTCAGCTTATGAAGGTGTAAGTACTTAAGTTTAAAGTCAGACTTTTATAAATGCCTTTACTCTTAGTATGTTATTACTTTTCAGTATCAAAGATCCATGAACAAGTATTGAAACTTTGACTCACCAGATCTCCTTGTATGGTTTTTAAGTCACATGAAACCCGTTCAATAAGGTCTTTCAGTTTCCTTCCAATTACATGGACCTTCTCATCAGTTTCAATGTCATCAGCATTTGATTTAAGCAGCAGATAAGCTGTGAGTTCTTGACGCAAGTTTACTTTAAGCTGTTGTTCCAGCAGCTCTTTCTGTAGTTGCTTAGAACAAATAAAAAACAGTACAACAGGCTTTTACTCTCAACTTTAAGGATGTTCTCATGGAGGAACTCTAGAAGGCTTTAAAGAACAACTCAACCTGCCTGAGAATCCGCAATACACAAGAATGACTATTATACCTACGTATGAAATGAAGATCTCTTGAAGAGACTGGTTTTACTTGCTTGAACTAACAGAACTAATTCTAGTAGTAATTAATCCATAGCAAAAAGACATTAAAGGTTTGAAAGTGGAAGTCTTACACCAGAATAAAGACTGCCCACAAGGAACTTAATCCATATTATTATGATGATGCATAATTATGGAAAAAAACACCTCATATAGGCAATCTTTATTAAGAAATTTTCCTAATATCCAGTCTAAACTTCCCAGCATTCATGCTACTGACTGACCCCAAGAGTACAAAGACAATGATAAAAAGCATGAGCATCTTCAAATCCCATTTCTCAGTATGCCATAACTTACCTTCAATTTCTTGACCCTTTGTTCCAACACCTGCATGCTGACTTGAGTTGTCTCTTTCTGCAGCTTCTCCAGTTCTTCTTCCGTTTTATCAAGCCAAGCAGAGATGTTGCTGAGATCTGAGTTCAGCTGCTGCCACTGCTGCAATTTCTGTTTTATTTCAAGGTCACTTCTGAAGTCTTGAGCTTGGATGAGCTCTTGCCTATCAATAATGTCTACAAATGATAGAACAACAAATGTTTAAATCTTCAGTAAGGTGAAGAGTGTGTAAACACGATGCAAGGAGGTTTACGAGTAAATTATTCTCCAATCTACTCAAGGCCAAATAATTGCTACCAAGTACTACGGTTATCCAGACACAATTTTCTTGAGATTTTGCAAGTCTGTAAGTTTCATATTACCAGTCAAGTTATCCACATAGTAATGCTACACATTAGTTGAAGATGATTTAATTCAAATCTAAGGAGACAGAATTCAATGAGCCAAGCCGTGATTTGGTAGACACCAAAATTCATCATGGGATAAAGTATGATCTTTTAGGAGAATCCTAACAGCAGTTAGGACTTGGGTTTATGATTCATCAGTCCCATGCTAAAGGAGCTGCAGACACCACCTGTGTGTTCACTAACACTATTTCTGGAAGCACATCTAAGCCCTTCTCAGAGATTTTCCTGTCCACCCCATGTATGGGACTCAATCCTGGTCTGTTTGTGACATAACCTAAGTAACCTGGTGCATATAGCTGCAGTCTTCTTTTAATCACTTGATTCAGTTTTGTGATTGCAGTACAGATGTGTAATTACAATCTCAAGCACCTGAAACCAGGAATGAGGTCCTAAAAGGTTAAGAGAACCAGGTTATTGTCCTATTTGGAAGAAAGGACTGCAGTGAAAAAGTAAAGCACAGAATACATTACCAGCATTGAAAAAGCATTTCTGTAAATGGGAGCTGTAGCATCTTGTTGTATGGAGTACCAATAACTGAGAAAATTAATTTAGCAATCTTAATTTAGAAAAAGAGATGCACTACTTTGGTTTGAAATATGATTACAAGTCTGTGAAGCATTCAGTATCACACAGAAGTGAAATTGTTCCCATTCATTTCAACCAACAAAGAAGTATACTATGAGTGATAAAAGCCTCAAATCTGGCAGAAAATGTAAAAGCTTAGAACAGCAAATGCAGGTTGGAGGGTACCAGGTGAGAAGGCAGCTCAGCAAATTTTAGCAAAATACATCAATTTAGAGGATACTGGTTTACTTCTATTTTGTTCTCAAGGCAAATATGCTGCCTTTGTGCCATCTCTGCTTTGTCTTACACAGTCACAGACCAAATACCCCAGCACCAAAGCCACTCCTAATGCTCTGTACCTGACTGCTCTGCAGCTGCTATATTCACAAGCTCTTGCTCAAACTGGGGTTCTTCATCATTCATGTCAGGAGTCGTAATTTTCTCATTGTTGATGCTGCTGCTGCTTGCAGAGCTGAGCTGATTCACCTGGAATGACATTTTGGTAGGTGAGTCCTGCAGGCTGTCAAGCTGTCAAAGGTCAAACTTAATTACTGTTACTTTGGGGTGGCTGGGTGGTATGTCAGTTTTAGTATTGGGCTTCTGCACCTTTTTTAACAGTTTATTCTGGCTCTCCATGCCTTCTCAGTAAACAAACACATACCATAGTGACATTAATTATTACAAGACTGAGCATGGCAAATTAATTGTTTTTGCGCTACGTATAGCAGACAATGTACATTTGCTGACTGTCTTTGTTGGATATTGGGTCTTGGCATTACTGACTAAGACTGGATTACTGACTGATAAAAGCAACCAGATACTAGTATCTTGTGCTCGGGAGATTGCTTACAAGTGGTCCAGATCCAATGAGCCTGGCAGCTGCTGGCAAAGCCACAGCAGGCATCCAGCCACCAAGGCTAAGGCACCAATGAACAATAGCCATTTTGGCGTATTTTTTAGTGCCCAGAAGCAGATTAAATGGTGGGTTGCATGTTAAAAAAGCACCCTTCAAATCGGTCTGCCTAGGAAAGGAAGATAGATACAACACTAACTATCAAGGGAGGGTATTCATTCAACACTCTCTCCTTTGGGGAGGTTAGATTCCCCTAGATTTTATGACAACAAGGAAATAAGTTCCTCCAGACACTGACTTTTAGCAGGAGCCTGGCATGATTATTCCGAATTGCTTTAAAGAAGCTTCCCTAGCAAGTGGATAGAGACTCTCACTGGTTACCTTAGCCACCAGAAATAATGTCTAAATTTACATGAAGTGAACATTCCCCCTACGACTAATCTTTTCCTTGGTGCTGGAGGAGGGAAGAAGATGGAGTTACAGGAACAACAGACTGTGTTGTACAGGTTTAGTGCCCATACAGCTTCCAACTCACATAGTCTGGCTTATAGCGAGTACTTGTCTCTGGATCAGACAACATATTTACAGCCACTTCTGCCTGTTTGTATTGGCGTTTCCTGTGGACGGGACTGTCTGGAGAACGCCAAGGATGAGCTTCTGAAACAGACTTTCCTGAAACAAATAAAACCAAACCCATACACCATGAGTGCAAAATCCCATCTCCACAAGGAAGATGTTGCTTTGTGTTGTTAGAAAGCGCTTTGAATAAAATGGCATCAACTTATGGCAAAAAAATGACAGTTTTGCAGTTTTCCTTGCAAAGCATGCACATCTGCAAAACATGAACAGTGTTCTAAAGGTAATGAGATGAGAGCCATGCAGTTACGGGACATCCTGTTTTCTTCTGGAAAATGCTTTAACACATGTATGAGCATTCAAAAAAAAAAAAAAAAAGAAAAAGGCTGCACTGTGGTTTTGGAACGTTTGCATCCCAGTAACACTATCACACATCTGCAACACGTCAGTAGGGACAACTATAGACATGTCCTCATTTGGGGAATGCCTGGTCTGGATTTAAAAGACAGGACACACGCAGTTCTGTCATGCACAAACCACAAAAAATACTTGCAGAGTTGGAACTACTGCCTTCAGTAATTATGCAATCAAAATTAGAAACAACAAAAAAAGTGACACTACCCAGAGCAAACCACCAAGAAAGTACCAAAAGACTTTGGATCAATACAAAGAAATGCACATTAACCACCTTGGCATTTACCAGGCAAAATCTAAATGGTATGTTCTTGACTACTTTGTAATGTACGTGTGAATACTGCAGCGTAAGAACACCATGGCAGGATGATACATGGTGTCCACACAAGGCAGGAAGTCAGACATTACGTATGAGAGAGGTTGAGGAATATAGCGTGCAGCACAGGGAGATTGCCATGTTCAGACACATGCATTAGCAGGTGCCTACCAGAAGATGCTTTCAAAGTTTTTGTGGTCATTTTAAGATATGCCTCAGGATTTTCAGTGATTTCTACATCTGAAAAAAGAATAATGTCATTTTCCTCACTATTTAATATTTTCCAACTATTAAGAACAATGGAAACAATGAAGGACAGCAAAGACAAAGAACAAAATAAGTTAGTACTATTTTCATCTAACAGTCTTAGAAAGCAAGGCTTCTAAACCCTTATGTTTCTGAAAAGATAAGCTTGGTTTAGACAATACCGTTCCCTTCACCAAGATATCTAAGAGCTGAGGCTGCTCACTTCTATTAATAGTACCTGAAAATGAACCAACAACGTGGGAGGAAGACCTCAATCCCCCTCCCTTCCCACACAGGGACATCCTGCAGTTGTCCATGTCAAAACAAACAGCTGGCAATTGGTTCTCACCTGACAGAGCACTGTAGTATGTCGCTTCTTCTTCATCTTCATGAGAGGAAGAACCTCCCACATCACCTGTGTGATCCCACTCAAGTGGGATGGAGTCAACACTGACAGGGGTTTCACAGCCTGATCTTTCATGACCCTGAGTAGGGGGCATAAGGTGGCAAAGGGACTGTGCTGAATTGGGCCCCTCGCTGATGGCCTTCTTACACCAGGGATCATTCTGGATTTCTCTGGAGTCTTCTGGATCTGTCTCATTTTCAGAGGTGTCTCTGTCATCATCCAATCCCTAAAAATAAATAACAATTATTGCATATTAATAAGATTTACAATAGATCTACACTGCTTAATGAGCTAATGATTGAGCCACACGCTACTACAGGGGACTATTTCCTGGTCAGCTGCAGTAATCGAAGACCATGTGCCTAAAACCGAAGAGAAGCATCAGTTCTGCCTCCTTCCTCTTTAGCCAAAACAACCCTCACATCAGCAGCAACCTCCCTTTTTTCATGACACTCAACCACCACCATCTGTCTTTAGTTTAAGAGAGGTACCCAGTTCCTAATAGGCAGCAATGAAATGATGCTCAGGTCGGGGTGAACAGCTGCTCATAGATGTTCATGTTACTTTCTCTACCTTGCTTTCCAATAGATGCTCTTCTTTTTGAGCCAAAGCAAACTGAGAATCATCTAAATGTTCCCAGTGAGAAGAGCATGCTGTTCTCCATTCAAGGTTATGCCAAGAAATTGGACAAACAGGTATTCTAAGCACATTACTGAATTTAAAGAAAAAAAAGTGGTACTAAACCCACCAAAAAAGCCCTCAAACCACTACTGTAAAAATGTTAACCCTGTAAACTACTTCCATGCAAATATCCAGATTCTGCAGATAGCGTCCCAAAAGGAGAGGCGTGAGGAGAAAAGACTGGTGACAAACGTTTAGCAAACCTGGCAAAACTACTGAGTAGGTCCTGACACCTTTGAGCTCAAGCCACTTGGTTAAGCTGCTAGGGATAAGTAATGAGCATTACAGTTCAAACAACAAAATTTTCCCCAAGCATCAAAACAACTGTTGCTTCTTACGGGATGCCTTGAAGTCAGTCTTTGATGGAAGCGGGCAACTCGCCCAAACACTTCCTGACAGTATCGATGAAGTTCTTCCAATTCATTCTCAATCACAGCAGCATCCAAAGGCTCACTCTTCTGAATCAGCTGCTCCCCAAAAACGATTAGCTGATCAATCTTATTGGTGTTTAGTGTTATTTCCTGCTGGAAACCCTATTTGGAACACAGAAAAAAAAAATTATTTCTGCAACACCCCTTTTTAGCTTAAGTTTTGGGTTTCTTTTCATTGCACTGAAAGAAAAGCAGCCACTGACATTGTTGTCTAATTTCATTTGGCAAATATACTTTTACTCAAGAGGTCCAGAGGTTTGCTTTATTAGCAGGATTACAGTTCCAAATTAAGTGGCATTTTGCACCCATGTATACTTCAATATAATTGCAGTGTCCTGGGCCTGCAGGGGATCGTGACAGAGGAGCTCAGCTTATCAGAATTTATCCTTCTCTGCTCTCTTTTCCTCAGTAATGAGGAAGTTTGTTTGCCTGGTTGGGCCTCCAGCCTACACAACAGTAAAACTACATCCCAAAAAGATTAACAGTGCAGGGAGAAAGAAGAAACAAGCACATGAACAGGTAGCAAAGAACTAGTATATTCTTTAGAATCACTGCACACACCTGCCATCTTTCAGTTGGAAGTCCCAGCTACAAACAATGCACTCAGAGGACAGATCCTACCTTAACGCAAATTCAAAAAACCTTCTAATGAGAAAAAAACACCTGACTTTAGGAATGTAGCTTTTACTGTTAACCTGCATGTGGTCATTTCCTAGAGAGACATCACTGTCACTGACACTCAGTGTTAGGAAAAATGGGCAGGATAGAACACAGCTTGAACACTGAGCCTGAATTTAAATACGGTTTAATCTTGATTCACAGAATAGGCCTTAACAAATGAGTGGTGTCTTAATACAAATATAGTCCTACAGAGATCTGTTGGCTATTGTGAAGTTCCAGAAAATAAGGTGATTCTGTCAAGAGAGGGCAACCCAATAGGATTAGCCAGACTGCTGATATTAAACAACTACTTCATAAGGATACGCACATTTAACTGGCGCATTTTGTCATCAAAATTACTTTCTGAGAAGTGCTCCACATTTGTCAGCTGGAGGTCCATTTCTGTGAGCCAAACAAGGATGCTTTCTCTTGTCCCCTCAAATTCATCTCTCCGGTTGGTGAAGTGCTGGATAGGAAGAAGCGAGCCAGGATTATAAGATTTCCGCTACTAAAAAAGGTGGTCATAGAAGCCCTCTGAAAACAGTGTTTTGTTTCAAAATTGCTGTTAACCTTAAGGGCTGTTGGGAAACAAACGGCAGCATGCCATGTATAAGAACTGCCCCTTTCCTGTAGTGATGCTGGAACAAAGTGTCCTATGTTAGTACATTATTTGTATGAGAGAGACAGTAAAACTTAGGCAGAGCAAGATGTGCTTATAAATTTATATTCCTGCTTCCACACTGGCTATATTCTCCCACATCATTATATCAGTGTAACAGCTATTTGGACTCAGGTTTAACATCTAATTTGTTCTAAATTTAGAAGACAGACAAAGGAAGCAAGCCCCATCGTTAATTAAAGCACTTAAAACTGTAATACTGAAATTAGTAAAACAATGAAGAAGCTATATCTCAGATGACCATGCCAGTGTAATTAATGCATCATTTGGCACAGAAGCCAAGAGGACTTCTCCCTGCTGCCATCTCCCACAAAAGCTAAAAGACATGCATCTTGTGGTACCCCATTTCTTCTCAGTGGATTTACTGTTCGGGAAAGGAATCGCAGAACATCCCAAACTCTAACTGCACAGAGCAAACCTGTCAGCACTCTCACAGCCTCATTCACTGACTTTTAGAATCTAACAGTTTTGCCTGTCAATTGCTTGCAGCACTGCTATAATTACAAGTCAGGGAGTGATAAGTTTTCCCCAGGGCACAGCACAGAATATCTGCTCAGAGATCAGTTTAACTGGACAAGCGGGACACTTCACTGATGTGTCACAAATACATTCTTCTGTGTAATACAACATTCCTCTGTCAGGCAGAAAGCACAGAAGAACAATGTGTTATAGTCTTCAACTACCAAGAGCCCATGGCAGGAGGGCCTGAACTAGATGATCTTAGAAGTCCTTTCCAACCCTAACTATTCTATGATCCTGTGATCTACCAAGGATATATTTACACCATATACTTGGTGAGACCTTTCTAGATCTCTTACAACTCAAGATAAAAAACAACACAAGGTAGTTGCTCCAGTATTCGTTTTGCCCTTGTGTAATTCCTACAGAAACTTGTAAGTGCTCCTCACTCTCTCACTCCACCATGCAATTACCTTGAGTCTCCTCAGAATAGCAGCGACTCGTTTCTGAAGATAATCCCAGCGCTGGTTGCCCTCATGTACCATCTGCTTCAACTTGCTGGCTGAGTCTGTGCGGTTCTCGCGGGCGAGGCGCCTGTACTGCTTATTAATCAGCTCCAACTGAGTGAGTCGTTCATGAACTTGCCTCTGGAATGCCTACAAGGTGAATCAAGGAAGTCAGCTCCCTTGCCAGCAAGAGAAAGGATCTGGATGATACTATTTATCACGAGAGATGATGATGCTCTCCCCTTAAAATGAGACTTTGTAACTACAAAATTAAATCCAGAGAAGGTCCTGTTATTTTCACTAATCTGCTCAGACTCAGTACATTACAAAAAGAAAAGAAGAAAAAAATTCAACCCACAAACATCTCCAGCCTACAAAATGTAAATATTTAACTTACGAGCAGGATCTTGTCTGTTTATAGTATTTGCTTCTCCGCAATAAAGAAAAATAAACAAATCAAGTCAGCCAGACACCTAGCAGCCACACAGTGGCCACATTATTTATGTTCTCTATGCCACCACTGCCTAGCTGGTGTTTTTTCAGTGATAGAGACATTTCACATAGACATTAAGAATTCATCAGTCTGGACACTCAGCCTGCTGCTGACCATAAAGAAATTAATTTAAAAAAATCACCTCAAATTTCTTCAGCTCCTCCTTTGCATGTGTGTACAAAACCTCTGAGGAATTAGGCCTAGCTGCTATCCATTCTGATGCTACTAGCCAATCTTCAAAGCGAGAGTAGTCGTCCAGAAACCTCTGCCATAGGCGCCAGGTTTCCTCGATTCTAAGATGTAAAGGAAGATGTAAAAATGGAAAGATTTTATCACAAGCCAACTATTAATTTGGATTTTTTTTCCTTTTTCAGAATTTAGCTTGTGGCAAAAGCTACAGTGTTTGTTAAAAATGCTGCCACAGGCTTCTTCAGGAGAGGTAAGAAAAAGACTTACTTCATTCGCCTTTCCATAGACATGGCACATATGTTTCTCCACCGTCTGTCCAAACTCCTGGTAGTCTGCTGGATGGAGTCACACTCTGTCTCATTAGCACACGCATCTGAATCGTGTAGTAGGACTTCACAAATATTAAACACAGATTCCACCCCTGCGGTGTGTTGCTCTATGTCTCGTTGCAGATCCTGCCATTGGCAAAAGAATAGCTTGAGTAGAAGGAAACATACATGGCTAGACTTCACACATACCCTTCCAAAATGCTGCAGAAGATGGGGAAAGAGCAATTTGTATGTCATGAAATGCTTATTTAGCTTTAGAAAACAGACTTGCAGGATGAGCTGTGCAGATGACAGGCTGACAGGTCAGAACAGAACTGCCATGCAAAAAGGGATTGTTCGGCTTTTATTTTTCAATGAAAGTGCAGTCTTCTCATTAACAGTCTGCATCCCTACACATACCATAAACACAAAAAAGTAACCGCATACTTACTAAATTTGACAGTGTAAGATGACAATGCCTCATATCAGCTTACCACCCTCTAAGACTTGACAGAGAACTCGTAGAACAGTCCATGTACTTAGTGACTATCTGATCACAGGCTGGTATCAAGAAACACAGCACATGAGTAGCTGGTGTTACACTGCTTTTCTTACCCCCTCCTGCAGAGCTCCCGTTTTCACAGACTATTTTAAAGGTTCTGGCAAAGACCCTTTGTCTAATCTACACTGCAGATTTCTTCTCCAGAGCCTGCATATCCACCATAGTCTCCATAGTCTACAGTCTCATTCTGTACCTATATCTAGTCCTACTTATTCAATGTAACAGAATAACAGAAAAACAAAGCCTTATCTAAATATTTCTTATTGAAAAGATGGCTCTGTACAATGCTAGCAACTGTAAATATTAATAAAATTACAGTGTTCACTCTACTTCCATTTTTTTCAACCCTTTTCTGGCTTTCCTAACGAAGGATACGAAGACTGTTGCTTGGATAACACTTATTCAAGCAACAGTCTCCATTGCTTGAATAACACTAGAACAACAAATAGAAAGGAACATTTTTTTCTGACAACAGTGAACAGGAATTCCCATTAAATGGTATTAGTGATTTCAGTGGGCAGATGAAGCCGAACTGGTGTTACTTTAGACTTACAAAACCAAAACAAAATAAAGCAAATAAAAAAGCCCCAACACAGACACAGCTTGTTGTAAATACAAAAAGAGGTGAAGGAAGGCCTTCCCAGAAGTCAACAAGCTGCAAGAAGCTCAGAATCACCTGGCAGCAGTCTTCAGTGGTCTTACATGGGTACCTGAAAGTAGGTCTGAGCCATAAATGGTCAACATTTGGCTTGTGGGATTCTGTGGTAATGTACAGCTTTAAGGAATGTGGAAGCCAAAATCTTTGCACAGATGAGAGACTGCCAGAAGCAGACCCAACATAATTTTTGACAGCTTACTAAGGATTTACAGCCATTTTTTGAGGAAGAGGCAGCAGTGTCTTTTTAACACAGGCTCTACCCTACTACTGGTACCAGAGAGACTCTACTGAATGCATTAAATTGCACTGGATTTACAGCTGTATTACTGAAAATTAGAATTTGGACCACAGATTACAAATCCATTCTACTTGCACTGTGGTAATGTTGCTGACACAATGTCGTTACTTTCAGTCATGCCTGGGTTCATAGAGTAACCCTAGTCAAAATCCTCGCCATTTTCCTAGGTATTATTCCAAATGACCCGACTGTATTATGGTGAGACAAACACAGCGAACTAAGTAATGGAGCCAGGAACATACACTGAGCCCCAAAAGGTGCTTTCCTTCCAACTCTGCACAGCATTGCCCAGAGAGCTTAAACAGACTAAATGCTACTGCTAGACATCTGCATTACCAGAACAGCTTTGAAATCTTAAGTTTAATACTATTAACATTTTACTCTTTATCCTTTAATTGAACAAACATGCTATAAAACATATCTGTGGATGCACAATGCTTTTGAATGCCATTATTCAAGACTGAACAGGTAAAGATTTTCTAGTCATGGATGTCAAATAAAAGAAGCCTGCAGGGCATATTTCTCACCATCATTCTGCTCTTGCTGAAATAATTGGTGAATGTAACTGGGGCAGATCCTCTTACTTGTCACACTCAGATAAAGCTTTCTCTATTGCAGAGCAAAAGAGGCTTTTTGTGGTTTTTTGTTGTTTTTTTTTTTAACTGTGGTCTTTTTAATCAGCATAGTCTTCTCATATACAGTCTACTAAAAGTTTGCAGCAGGAGTTTAGAGGTGCTCAGATGTGTTCGAAACAATCCAAACAACAAAGCAGTAAGTAGCTTTGAGCAGCAAATGATGACTCTTAACAGTGAGCTGAAGCTTGAACACTCATAATAAAAACAGTTCAGACACAGCTCCTTTGTCTAACATTCTTCTCAACCTGGCAGTTTATCACAGCCTTTGAGAATGCAAAAGGTTTGGATGGGGAGAAAATATTTTCTTGTTCTTTATACAACCATTTATAATGCAGGGTGAAACCACTAGAGGCACTGGACCAAGGCTTCTGGTGTGTGACCAACTGCTGCAGTAGAGCCGGTGGGAGCCATCTCAACTCCTGTTGCAGTGGAGCTGGCCCTTCCCATTATGTATGGGACATGAAAGCATCAGGCAGAGAGAGAAGATGGGAATGATGGGAAGAACACCCATAGGTGTTCTTAAAGGCAGACACCTTAAAGCTTCCATGCTTGACAGCTTTAATCTTGATCCTTGGTTTTAGGGTAAATATTCTTGTTTAACCCAAGGGCAAGATTACAGGTGGTTCTCAGCCTTCCCACAGAGGCACTTTGACCTGGAGCAGACTTAACAGCACAGCCCTGAGAAAAGGCTGCCTCCACTAGCAAGTCTGTGCTGGCTGCTAAAAACAGGCATTTACTCCCAGACTATCCAAAACATCTCACACTTCCACTTGGCTGGATACCTGGCACATTCAGCTGTGCCAAACCCTTGCCATCTCCAGCATTTAAAACTAGGATAGATCCTGAAGATCTCCCTGGTAAGCTGCTGTCTTGGACAAATGCCTACACACACTCAACCAGCACTCAACGGTGGTAGGCTGCTTCACACTTATGCCTCTGCAGGATTCATGCACCATCTCACCCAACCCTGAGGGGACCATCAAAGGCCTGCTTACTGGATCAGGCCTCAGTCAAAGGTGTGTTTGCACAAGTCCACCCTCCAAAACTTAAACATCCTTCTTTGCCAAGCTTGCTCTGTTGCCTGCAAGTAGTGAAAGAGAACTGAGCTAGTGAGGGCACTATATCAATATCAAATCACAGCACCAAAATCTGTCACAGCTAGTTTGCAGGAGACCTGGCATTCACATCTTGTTAGCCTGAATCATCCTCATGTATTTTGTCCACTGCCTGTGCCCTGCCTATCCATTATGAAACCTGCTGTACTTAACTGAGCAAATATAAAAATGCTTTTGTTTGTATTTTCCTTGTTTTCCTTGTGTGGAGAGGAGGAGAAGCGGAGCGATAAGTCAACAACATACTGAAATTACAGCAACCAAATTAAAGTTTTCCATGCCATGCATCTTAGCAGGAATATGCCATGAAAAGCTAACAGCTAGAAGGCCTTGCTAAAGAAAAGAAACAGGTGATTTTAAACCAGGGCCAATGTAATAAACAGGATTTTGGCTCATTTACTCTGGCTGCTGCTATTTCCTACCTGCTGCTCTGCCAGTCTCTTCTGGATTTCTTGGTCATCACAGATGTCATAAATCACAGGCTTGGAAAGCTCAGACTCAATCTGGGCCAACCAGGTGCGAAGGTTACTCATGTTTTTGTCCAACAGCTGCATAAATTCAAACGTCTCCTTCAGTTTCTTCACCCTAAGCAGACCAGTAAGAACACTTTGTTACAAAGATCTGCAATAAGTAGAAATGATGTTAGCAGAAGGTGATGACAGGCATGGCTTTATGAAGCACTTACTGTTGCACCAATATGTTGCCTGTAAATCAGGAGCCATGTTTTAGTCAAAACCTACCTAAATTGGCTCAGCAGGGCCCTGCTCTACAGCTACAGGAAGCCCTTGTGTGAATTCTTTAATGAAACTATATGAGCAGACTGAATTTTCACATGCTAGTTAGCTCTTCAGTCAGCTCCTGGACATTTGTTTCAGTGGGAGTTTATACCATAACATGCCACAGTTAAACTAAGATGGGTATCTATGGTCTGATTTTCCTGCTTTGAATTATACCCAGTGTCTTCTTCAGTAACTAACAGGCCCACTCTAATCAGCAAGGTACCGCCTCTGCCAATGGAGGCAGAATTTTCTCAAAGCACAGGTCCAACACCCTGGTCAAATGGATGCTGACAAGAGAGGAGACAGCCTGAACAAAGGTCTGAACTTACAGTGCCACAACATTATAGCTCTTCTAAATAACATGCTGAAATGTGTGGAGATGTACCTGGCTCTCCTGGTGGGTGAAAATGAAAAAAGAAAAAACCCCACACAATCCTGAAGAGGGAGAACACCCAAGCACTAGAGAGAGCTGTGCAGGAGACAAGCAAATGAACCATTATGACCATTTACTTTTCTTATAGCTGTTTGTAGCACAGGTCTCAAACTGCAGACAAGCTTTTCTTTATTCCCAGTCTTTACAGCATATTCCCTTGTCAAAACCCCTTACCAGCCCCTTAAGTTATACAAGTAGCACATTTGTACATTTTGTATAACCCCATATGTTGGAACAATGTCTGTTAAGCTACCTCACTGCTCTCAGATCTTTCCTTGCAATTCTCATTTATTGCAATTCCAAACAAAAATCACTAAAAAGCACAACAGTGGGATGACACTTCTCTCTTCTGACTTCAGACTGGTATCAGAGCTTGCCATCTAGCCTTTGCAGTTAATGGAGAAAAAAATATAATAACCTAGATGATTTCCATCAGACCTGTATTAAACATCCAAATCACCAGATGAGACAAACAGTATCAAAAAGCATGTACTTGTCTCCATAAAGTGTAATGGTCTCCCCTGCAGTACTATAAACATGAACACTGAAGATGCTAAATCAGGTGAAATTATTCCGTGCCTGCCTTAGGGAGACCCCACTTCTGAGCCAGCATTGCTTCACTGCACTGTTCTGGCTGCTTGCATCCCTCTGACATGTAGTTCTGTCCCTGTGCCTTGGGAGTGATTTTTGGACCTTGCATGTCATTTTTAAAATGCAGATTCCTGAATTAAACCCTCAGTTACTGCCTAGTCTAGCAACCACCCAGATTAGCCTCATTAAGCGCAGGACAAAAAGTATGCACTGTGAAAAGGCCAAAACATTCTGCATTAATTAGCCTCCTCTGCTGGGAACTCACTAGGGGTCTGAGATGAACCTTAACATACTTTGCAACACCAGTGTTGTACAGGCCAGGTCTGGAGCATCATGGGGAGATGTAAACTCGTCTAGTGCAGTGAAGGACTACACCAAGACAGCAGTGTCCTGACAGGGTACCTGGATGCTGGTCCTGCCCTTCTTTGCAAGAAAAATCCGTTTTCTGTCCCACTATCCTGCCTGCTGCCAAACTATTATAGAAAGTTTTAGAGGAGAGGGATCCAAACTGCCTGTAACAGAGTGGTTTTTGCAGCTGCCTGCTGCAGAACATGATACAATGACAGAAGAAATACAGGACAGGTAATTCGTAACGAACACGTCACTTGCTAAGCAACAGCCCATATTATTAGCAACCTGAAGGTAAGCAAAGAGGATACACACATCAGCTAGACCTGATTTAAGGTAAAGCACTTAGAGAGGAGATGTGGGAAATGATCCTGCTGGATTTCTTCAGTCCTATTCGTTATTGTGAAGGTACTGAGTAAGGCTAGCAAATCTGGAGTCTCACATGTGCATTCGCAGCATGGGAGGCACCTTCCCCTGCCTCTTGTCTCAAAAGGACGAGTAAGTACTTTCAGTTGTTTCACAAGGAGGGTGAGAAGAGCACAGTGCTACAGTAGAACTCCTGGCAAGCATTTAGCAACTCTGCACACTCTAAAACATAAAATTAGTCTTGTCTGGTTGATGCAACCCTGCAAGCCAGCCTGAAGAATTTGACAGAAGTCCATGGTCCACCTAGTTCCTTGCAACCACAAAGCCATCGATACTGGTGTAAAGTGAACACAGATGATTCTGCCCCTGTGCACTGACAGTACCTTCTACTATTGCAGCTGACAGAGAGGAAGCCAGTGGATAAGAAAGGCATTTAGCTGCTCTCACTTTCCTAAACAAGCTCTTTTCAGAGCCCTGCTCCCAGGTTCAACCCTGCATGCAGAATGCATCTGGCTCCCAAGCAAACAGCTGCTATATACATCTTCCTGCTCCTGGCTCTGCTTCTATTAAGTGGTGCTCAATGAACATGTCATACTCTAGTAATTGCAACTGCACTTTCTTGTGCTATCATGGGCTGGCAGTAATTTACCTGGGAGAACAAATTCTTTCTCCACCCTATCCCTTGCTTCTGCCCCACCAGTCACTTTAGATCCAGTTGGTTATGATGCTCAACAGGGCCTGTGACTCCCCAGGGTATGTGGCCCACCAAAAAGACAGGTGACTCAGGAACTGTTTCCCCTGGAGAGATGTAATGATACAGGCTCTGTACTGAGCACTGAAGGGAAGAAGCACTATAAGAGCCAGGCCTGTGGAAAAGTCTGAGCCAAACGCTTTGCTGTTGCATTGTTAACTTTGCATGACTTCAGGCCAGTCAGGAGGAAAGCAAGGCTCCATTGCTGAGCTGTCCCTCCCTGGCTGTATACAGTAACAATTTATTCGTTGCACATTCTATGACATTCCTCATTAGTGCTTTGGATATGTCTCTCTGGTGAACTGCAAGAGATGAACGTGTTGGGACCATCTGATGCCACAGCTAACCTGCTGAGACAAGTTTACTGTGCTTAGTATCATCTCTGCTTTCCTGTACTCCCTTCTCTGTATCCACCTCTTTGCCATCATGAAGCTACATTACAAAAAAACCTCAGGGGTTGCAAGATATCTTTCCTCAGTCTGCATATTGGATAACAGGTAGGTGAAAGTAGCAAAGGAAGAAAAACAAAGCAATATTAGATTATAAATAAATTTTTCTATGACTGACAGCACATGGTATAAATTAAAAAGCAAGAGTTTTAGAACCCAAGTGGGGGGTTTGCACCAAAAGAATCCCCAAGAGTATTATTTTGGCTTAGGCATCACTCTAAAATCCAAGTTACTGATATTACCATAAACAGGTTGGGCTTTATCTACTAGTGTTACTAGAAGCAACAGTATCAAAGACAGAAACACTGTTGGTAGTGCAACCTCGTATTTACTTTCTAGCAATTGCCAGTACAGACACCCCATTGTAATTTAGTAACTTAATCTGTTGCATATTCTGGATAGAATATGCCATTTGTCAGTAATTTAACCACCCTCAATGTTTTAAATCATTAATGTCAAACTTGAGCTAAAGAGCCAGAGAAGAATAAAACCCTAACAGAAGTTCACACTAGTGCAGCGTGTTGACAGGAAGGCAGCCATGTCCAGATGCTCACACTGGCTGATCTGCTCTTGCTGCAGTCAGCAGACAAAGAACCCAAGGTAAGGTAGGTAGGGTTCTACACTAAAGCAACAGAAGTCACAGGGAACTGCAAGTTGACTGGCTACAGCTCAAAGAAAAAAGTAAAACACACTAATTACAATCACAAAAGTATTTCCCAACAACCATTCTCAGGTGCATTTCTGCACCCTATCAGTATTCTTGCAAATTATCTGCTCTTTGCATGAAAGAAGCCTCATCAGCTCCTCTGAGATACATCCTGAAGGGACTATTTGTTCAGAAAGACAGGCCTCCTGGGAGCTTTGGAGGGGGTACTCAGTGCAAGCTTCCAAGCCTGGGGGCAAAAGCTCCCCCCACATCCAGGTAACAAATCACCCAACACACACTGAATTAAGAGCAATAAAAGTTCAAGTGCAGCAGCTCAAGGAAACAGATCCTCCCAGTTACCCAGAAGTTGAATAGGCTGCCACCACTGTTGCTTGAATTCTTCCTCTACAGTCTTGTTCTCAAGTTACTTGGTCAAACAGGCAAAACTCACTTATTAAATAAAGGACTACCTACCTACAGTTGACTTCCCAATGAGAACCCACCATTCAACATGCCCCCAGAAGCAAAAAAACAAAAAAAAAAAAACAAAAAAAAAAACCCCAAAAAACAAACAACACACAAAACCCAACAAAAACCAAACAAAAAACCAACTGAAAAACTCTTAACAAATATCACCACTAATCTAAAAACCCCACAAACTCAGACATCTACTGTACTTTGCAATGGGCCCAGCTTAAAAGATATCCTGATTCAAAACCGTGTTTGGACACACGCATAACATGACTGGAATAAGCCAAAAATGTCTTGATCTTTACGCCAAAATGAAAATGGCAGCAAAAGAACAAAACCAGTAGATTATAACTAAAAGCTGGCTGCAAAAGTGAACAGAAGGACTAACTGACCTGACTCAAGATTGGATTTGAATCTTAATACCCTCCATGAAGTTGCCAGCATTGGGTTACAAGAGAAATGCGTTAAGCTGCTTCAGGCTGAATCACCACACAGCCCCACAAATACGCACAATATTTTGTAGTAGCTACTCAGGAAGTATATAGGAGTAGAAGGCACTTCCAGGTTCACTGGAATGTATTCACACAAAGAATTGCAAAATGCCTGGCAACTGCATTGCATTAGTTGTCAAACTGCTGCATTAAAAGGTACAGGGAAGCTCAAATAAGGTAAAAAGTAACATTCAAATTTTAGTGCCTGATGAAAAACATCCTGACATATATTCCAAACTCCCCTTCACAAGCACAAACAT